CGACGGTACTGACGTTCTACAACTTACTGGCTAACAGCTCTAGGACACCTTGGATGCGCATTCTAGCAGCCTTCCAACTTGGAAGGTAAAATTGTAATTATGGTACAATTATTTGATAACCGCAATCAATAAAACTAGCTGAACCGACATTTGTGTACTTTATTCATGCAATGTAAAAACGGTGGAGACGATGTGCAATAAAACGATGAAAATATGAAGAAATGGTGTAGGGAAAAAATATGGATTCAAACAAGTTTTCGTACAACACTCATCAGGAATCTTCGTTGTACTAAAGGACAGTGAAACAAAAATTGAACTATTATAGAAAATCGAAGTTAGAGAAATAACACTAAAAACAACAGCAGTGAAATTTACAAGTGTGAATTTTACCAATCAAAGCGAGGAATGAACAAAGGAGAAAGGAAGGAAAGACAACGTGATAACACATAACAGCAGTACATTACACCTAGAACATTAACGGCCAAGCTTGGCCGCACTAAACACGACACGTTACTTGCACAATTTCAACCCAATTATACTATCTTTCTGTACACACAAATTAGGCTTATACAGACGCTGATAGATAGCTTCCAACACTTTTAACTGTAGTCCATAACCATGACGACCCCGGCACAAAAAATACAATGAACGAAGAGTCGGAATACGAATTGCAACAATCAGGACTAGCTAGCAGATGATTGTACACTGAAGACTTGCTACCACGAAACCTACGCACAACACTAACACTCTCACCGGCACTCTCACCATCACTCCCATCACTGCTCTCCGACTCACTGCTCCCTCCTCCGTCCGTTCCATCCTCCGCTTCCTCTGTACTCTCTCTGTCTCGTCTATCCCGCCTGACCGGGTCCATTGAACTCAACTCGGCCGTCACCCTGCCATCACGTCCCTCCTTTCGCCCTTGTCCGCTGAGTGCGTGGCTTCTGTTGAAGTTGGCTGTTGATCGTCTTTCTCTTTCATTTATGGGCTTGGATGGTGGATTAGTTGTGGTTGCTGTAGATTGCGTTGTTGGTGTTGGTGTGGGAGCTACTGATATGCAAGGTGGGTCAAGGTGGGTCTTTTAGTATAATTGGGTTGAAATTGTTCAAGTAACGTGTCGTGTTTAGTGCGGCCAATCTTGGCCGTTGATGTTCTAGGTGTAATGTACTGCTGTTATGTGTTATCACGTTGTCTTTCCTTCCTTTCTCCTTTGTTCATTCCTCGCTTTGATTGGTAAAATTCACACTTGTAAATTTCACTGCTGTTGTTCTTAGTGTTATTTCTCTAACTTAGATTTTCTATAATAGTTCAATTTTTGTTTCAGTGTCCTTTAGTACAACGACGATTCCTGATGAGTGTTGTACGAAAACTTGTTTGAATCCATATTTTTCCCTACACCATTTCTTCATATTTTCATCGTTTTGTTGCACATCGTCTCCACCGTTTTTACATTGCATGAATAAAGTACACAAATGTCGGTTCAGCTAGTTTTATTGATTGCGGTTATCAAAATTAATTATTGTCTCCTCGCCGTGTGTTTAAATGGTACAATTACGTTTTCTTTTCCATAAACTGATCAGCTTTACAATTATATCATTATACTGATTTCTCTACATCAAAGCTAAACCTTTATTGGTGCAAGACCCCAAAGTAAAAGTGAAAAATCAGAAGCGATCCGTTGCGTTTCAAAATGGGTTAAAGCGTTTTCACCTTAATTCTAATAAGACATAAATACCCATGTAGTGAACGGGAATAGAGTAAACTCTCGATCAGCAATGGCCCGTGCCGGACGCATAGTCGTACTGTCGGCATCAGCAGGACAGGGTGACTACTAGAAGTCGGTTTCACTTTTATTGCTCTGCCACACACCTAGAGTAGCAGCAATGGCTGTTGAGCTGCATGCACTCAGGCCCTGCTGACCCAGACGTACTCATTGCATGGTCTAGGCATGGAGAAGGCGACGAATGGAAGAATCATTGAAAGGGTGCATCCCAAAACACTCCGATTCAAAGGTGGAGAACAAATTTTCTACAGTAGATTCGCGCATATGTATGGTAACAACTGTATCTGGTTCGTCGTGGATAATGGAAACTCAGTGATTGGCTTGGTTAGCTGATGATAGATGAGGGAATATGCGTAGGACTAGAGAAGGGATCCAAAGCCAAATCATACCTCACGTACATGTAAATGTATGTTATTTATCAGCACTACAGGCTAAGGCCGAGTACACGTACATGTACACGGTGATTGAGTTTTATCATTCATACTGACCTTTCATACACACTTACAGTCAATAAAGCCCTCATAAACACCCAAATAAACGGGTGCCCTGGAGTTCGGGCTAGCCCTAGACTAGTAAGAGTAGTTTGTCCCTGAGTTGGTATGAAGGTCAGTGTAAGTATAGTACATTGCACTAGTAGTACGCTTGTAAAGTTGTATATCGGTCTATATTTCACGTACAAGCGTCCTGTTGGGATGTATTATAATTATACTACATGTAGTACACGTACATGTACATGTACGTACAATGATGGCAACTGAAATCCGACCGCCCTAACGGTGCGCTAGCCGCGTTAGCGATTTGTACGAGACGCTAGGGGGTCGGATTTCAGTTGCCAGCACTGTACATGTACATGTATGTGTATGCATGGCCTTGTTCGGCATACACGTACATGTATGACCTCGATCTGTACTATTACGCTGGCGCTAGGATATGAACCAGGATGTCGTCGCTGAAGCGAATCATGGGCGAGGCAGCACGAAGCTACGGACGGGCAGAAATTCAAGTGGGCCTAACTGCGCTATCGAAATCATACATGATACTTTTCATTAGCGAAAGTAACCCAATGCGCGCAGAGTACAAACCTGTGTGTACCACTGAGTCATCCATGTTTACGTGCATCTACCACCAACCAAGACTCAACATACCTACGCTGCTAGTAATATGGGAGCAACGCTGAATGCTAGTTGGCTCAGTTTATGTTTTGACTTTTTAGATATCGAAACACAGTGTCGACACTGCGTACCGCGGTACACCTGCCACGCGTGTCCTCAGTATACTCCTGGTCTTGTCAGCTAGCTACAAAGCCAATAATTATGCATGTTTAGTTGGTCAGATGCAACTCGACAAGACTGCAGTTCTGCTCATCCAGCTATCAAATGGGCTCGCACATAAAATTTGTCTCTTTGCAAGGTGGCACTTTGCCAAGATATTTATAAAGCAGATAGACATCTCCCGAATCACTAACGAAGAATATAAAGAAGAGAAGCAACACATCCCTGTTGTCATTCATCCTTTCAAGGCAGTTGGAAGTTTCAGTTTTTCTGTTCAAGTTTGCTTTGTAAATTCCCAGAATGGTTCAACATCCTCGTGCAGTGCAGCAAGTGTGTTGGATCTTGAGGGGCGCTGACGTCATCAGGCTCCGTCTTCTAGTATCGTTGACGGTACTCGTCGTTCTCGAAATGGACACTACTGCAATGCCATGTAAGGATAGTGTTGAAGAAGGGCAATACTTGAACTCATTCTTTCTTTTAAAATACCACGCTCTCGTATTTAAAATTGGTGCTGGCAAATTGTTATGTTCAGGGTGCAGTGTTGATCTAATCTCCAACGTCTTTGGGTATGACTGTATCGATCACTTCCATGTACACTGTAGGTATCGTAAGTGCTACTGCATGTATTTTATAATTTTTTCTTTAGCACACATTAACCCCGTAAAATGATAATTATCTATTATGGGGACATTAATTAATGCGTTCGTTTGTACTTCTGGGGCCTTGAAGCTCGGAGTGGTTTGTACTTTCAACTTCAAGTGGCCTTTAGAACACTGAAATGCATTACTGTCAACAGGTGTTTAGGCTGGGATGGGGATCCTGCCGTCCTTTCTTTGTATTATCACTAATTAGACATTGCATAGTTCATGTAATGGGGGGGGGGGGCGCTCTGCAGGTTAGTTTGTACGTGAAGTGTGTGGTTTACGGTGAGGGCTGCGTTCCACCCACCTGTGTGGATTCACAGGAAGCGTAAGCTTGAAAGTCTGAGGAAAATACTGAACAGTGGCTACCTGCATAACGACTACACCATAGCCTAGCGGTGGAGCACGGCTGGCCATAAGCGAGGTTCATTGTTTCGAGTCCTGGTGGCGAGTGTCAATTGTTTTCTTCAGACTTTTCCCGTTTGCTACTTTCCTTTAAACTATTGAACACTCCTAGGAATTATTCACAGGTTGAGGGAATGGAAAAGGGAAAAGTCTGAAATAAAAATTGACTGTCACCACCAGGAATCAAACCAGGGACCTTCGCTTGAGGCCAGCGATGCTCTAACCACTAAGCTATGGTGTAGCTGTCATCCCAGCAGAAACCGTTCAATATTATCTTCAGACTTCGCAACAGAACAACAAGGACAATCAAGGCTTGTTTGCTGCTGCTTGAAGTTTCATGCTCACGCAATCATCAGGCAACATCTTCAGACTTCGTAACTCACACTTCCTGTGACACTACACAGGCTGGTGTAACGCAGCCGTCACTGTACGGACACCCTTCCGCGCACAAACTAGTACTCGGGGAGCACCAAAGTATCACATATTCATAGTTTGAGGCAATGGAAATGGGAAACGTGTGAAGGAATAATTGACTGTCACCACCAGGACTCGAACCAGGCCCTTAGGAATTACTACTATCATTTTACCTAGGATGATGAGCCAATTTAAACATGGATAAATAAAGGAAGGACCACATGTTATGAGTTGTGACCAACTGTCTGACCACCTACATGTAAGTAACTACATCATAATACAGTCAGCATTTGCGACAAGGCACAAAACTGACATTAATTTTTGGTCTTCCCCAATTCATTTGTACCTACATTGCACATGCGCGTTGTAATGATATTGTAGGAGCAATTCCAGCGATTATTCCATAGGAAGTTTCATAGCGCGAACTCCTGTGCGGGGAGCACCTTTCTTATGTACATTGCATGTTTTCACGACTTTAAACTAGAGATGATGCAGACTGGCACTTTTCTGTCTTTGATGCAGTTGACTGCCCTCCAGGCTGCAGGATCGAGTGCGAAACGGAGTACGTTTCGCCAGACGCTGTGCAGTTCCTTTCCTGCAGCTCCTCAAGCAGTAGCCAAGGTCGCACCGAGATCCAATCACTCATTTACATTCGTCCCCAAAGGAGCTTCCTGCCCAGTACCACTGACATCCTCTACCAATCTACCCCTCATAGTTGGAGGACGATTTGGGTAAGCAACGTACATGTACATGTACATGTATGCTTTCACGTGGCAAGTACGTTTTTTCCAAGCCTCTTGTAAGGGCATAACATAACAATAATATGCTTCACTGAAGGATGAGAACAAAAGCAGCAATACACCAGCAAGTTCTGGTATCAGATTTGATCCTGTCCACTATAATACGACATGAGATCCCCCCCCCCCCCCCCACACACACACTGGTCTTGCTATCCGTGTCCAATCCAACCACTCTCACTCGATGTCATGTGTTTGGGCTTTTATCCCGTTTTTATTTGCGACTTGAATAAATAATTATGTACATGTACATGCACTGTACTGAATATGCCTAAAGACCTCCATGAAGCTAAAGCATAAGATCTACTGGTACGTGTAGCTCGGGTGTTGTCGCCATGCGTGCTCATCATGGGTGAATCTGAATTAGTAATGTTTGCTGGGCTCCTTTTTAATAACGATCGCAATATCCGAACTGCAGTCACACTATCTTGTGCAAAATCCACGTACGGTTCATTGCAGTGAATAAAGGAGGTAATGCTGGGGTCCAGTAATCTCAGCGGATCAGACGTCTCAGCTTCATAGGCGCCTAGCTCGATGGTGGTACCCAAAAGCATGTTTTCCTTGAACGTTCACATCCCTCTAGCTTGCAAGGAGCCATGGTTGGCTATAAAAACCCTGCAATCGCCACGCAAAGTGGTCATTGGCTACCCCAGCCATGTATTGCTTGGAATAAAATAAATAAATATTTCTATCAACAGCAGTACTCAATCTGCGGACAGCATGCTGTATGTATTTTTCAGTTGTGATTTTTTACTAAGTACACAACCTACTCGTCAGAAGGGGAGAAGAATAATTGGTAGTAGTCCCCAGTTATTGTCAGCTGAGGAATGCCTTGTGTGAAACTGCCGCCAGCTATCTACAGTACAAGTGGATTGGCAGTGACATTCTTTTTTCTCTCACCCCCCCCCCCCCCCCCCGCCTTGTACAGGCCTCTTTTGCAAGCAATAAACAACACACGTAAAAGGCATAGGCATAGTGGTGGCCTGCGGAAGCGAAGGCTAGTTTGTGTGTTTCTGAACATTCAAGCGATGCCGACGCGAATCCCGCGAATTTTTATTATCATTATTATTAAACAACACAATGGATCAATGTGTGGGTCCTCTGCACTCAGTAGAGTCAAGTCGAGCGAGCTGCACCTCCCGGTGCCGAAAGGCGGGCTCACGCCCCTACATGACTATTTCCCCTTGTCTAACCCGCAAGACGTAATGATAGTAGCCGACTTGTCGAAATTTAAAAAAAACTAACACAATGGATTGAAATGCAAAACTGTGATTGTGTAAAACTGTCACCTTATACTCCCTGTCTGGATATGAAGCGAATGACTTGGTGAGGTGGCCCTTCACATTGTTTCGTCTCCGTTCTCCATTTCGTGGGTGACATATTCTTTTCGAAACATGTTGGGAACAATGCCACGTCACGTGGTCTTTGTCTTGTACCGCAATCAGAAATGGACTGTTCGTGAAGGCTGGATTCTTCAAGAAGCTCTCCGGGACCTACCATTGTCTCTCGCATGACTCTCCAGACCTCAAGTCCTGCACATGCTTATACGTGTACACATATGACGAGGTGGAGGTAAGCTCCAACTACACTATACTGATAGACCTGGGGTTCGGCACTTTTTCCAGTATTCTGATACCACTTTTGGAAACGAACATTTCGATAAAAGATCAATAAAAATGCGTTGGTGATGGTGTTGGCTGTTCCATTTTATTAAGTGGCTGTAGTGGAGCTTGAGCACAATGAGAGGTTGCAAGACGTTGCCGTAGGCAACTCATGGTTTATATCAGACATTGCCTACTTGCCTTCCATTCTTTTTAAATAATTATAATTACACAAGAGAGATTGGAAGCTGTGTCGCAACTCTGACTTTCACGTATTACTACGATCATCAGTCAACTGATGGCTCCAAAATGGGCAGTCTGAACATAATCGTATAAGAAAGTATTTGCAAACCTCAAGGCGATAGCGCCGTAAATAAGCCTTCATAGACAACTCTCCTAAGTGTATTCTGATGCTTGACTTCACCTTGTGACCGTGATTGAGTTGTGCAGGAATACAGGAAATGCTTCCAAGACCCGCCCGTCACTATCCAGCTGACTTCCCGTGCGAGACAAGCCAGGTTGCATCGGGTACTTACCCTAGGGGACACGGACGTGCCATTAAACTGTCCACACAATGGTAAGAATTGTGTGTGGCCATTTGTCTTCAGGTTCTTTCCCTATATTCCTTTCCCTATCGTTCTTTCTATTGCCTATCTGTATCTCTACCGTACTCGCGCGATTAGTGCCCCTGGGTCACTATTTTTTCAATGTCCAACCCAGATGGGGCACTATTCAAGAGAGGGAACTATTCAAGAGAGGGCACTATTCAAGAGAGGGCACTATATTTTCAATGCTGGTACATTTACGTCATCCAGCCTAATGTGTACTGTAAACTATCCCAACTTGACGGAAATAGCAACAAGAACTGCGTTTTTGATCGTGAAACCACCAGTGCAATGACATGGACAAGAGCATTAGCAAAAGAACACCAAACTGGGACATGCGTTTGGTTACAAGCGCGACGGGGGGGGGGGCACTATTCAAGAGAGGGCTTTATTTTTCACTGGCTCTTAGAGACTAGGGCGCTATTAGAGATAGGGCACTATTCAAGAGCGGGCTCTAATCGCGCGAGTACGGTATATCAGATTCTCTCTATCGCCGTCTCTCCCTCCATTTCATTTAGAAAAGCGATTCTGTCAGCTTTTCTATGAATGTGTTACACTGCGCATAAGCACTATGAAACATATTGCACTGTACCTGTTGTTCAGGCTCAGCTGATCGTGCCACTGTGGAGTGGACGCACAACGGAACACTGGTCCCGGATCACACCTCGCTCTCCAAGGCACGGCAGCGTTCCTATCTGATAAGCTCACAATCGGGCGATCTCATCATTCAGCAGGTAACGTGGGAAACCGCAGGAGCATACAAATGCAAGGTGATTTACAACCACCATACGCAGCATACGCAACTTCAGGAAACGAGCAGGGTGGACAATCAGCTTCAATACTCAGTGACCATTTTGAAAACCGGTAAGAGCATGAAAAGCTCTGACGCAACTATCCTATACGCAGCATATAATCCGAGTTCTATGGCATCGATTCTATCTGAACAGGGATGGTGTTGGTGTTGTTGTTGTTGAATTTATATTCTATCTGAACAGGGATGGTGTTGGTGTTGTTGTTGTTGAATTTAATATAAAGTCGCAACACAAACAGGCGATGGCGCCTCCTTTTATACATGTGCGCTATATGACAAATGCAATAGTAATGGGGAGGGGAGGACAAAAAATCACAAGTGAAAGAAGTCACCGAATGTAACTGAATATTTTACATATAGAGGTGCGGGAAAAAGAACCAGTGCTGGTGGGATCATTCCCATTATACCATGCCTAGGCATCGAAGTCATGGTGCATTGTGACCAAAACAGGCACACATGTAATGTGAACAGTTGTTATTAGGATTGCCAGCTAAACAAGTTTATCATGAGTCCATCCGTATTGTCTTCTCTCTCTCTCTCTCTCTCTCTCTCTCTCTCTCTCTCTCTTTCTCTCTCTCTCTCTCTCTCTCTCTCTCTCTCTCTCTCTCTCTCCCTCTCTCTCTCCAGTTACATTCAAAGTACACGGAGCAGATACAGGATTCATACGTCAAGTGAATCCATCTTCCGCGAAACTTGAATGGAGCACTGGAGTACAGCGTACAGGCAACAGCAGTGATGTGACTTTGAACATTCGGGCATTTTCTGCAGCGCTCAGCACATCTCTACACACGAATATCTCCCTGAGCAGCCGCACGTCGCCCGTAAACATTGCACGACTACTTCCAGATGCGGGACTTCTGGCTTGTCTGCCTACACCGGTGCTGGATGTGTGGCTAACGGCCACCCTTGGGGACGAAGCATATGTGTCTAACCGCACTCGGCTTCTTTTCAGTAAGATCCGAAGACAACATCATCCTAATGCCATTGATTGATATACAAGTAGTTTTGAACTTTTAATCACTATGAAACCTGAAACCTTATAAAGTGTTGGAATGGAGAAATATTAAGAAGCCCTCCTTGATTCCTGATGGTGCTTGTAATTCACCATTTAAAAACTTTGGGAAAAACGATTCAGATTGATGTTGCTTTCAATATGATTTTGTTCATTTTTCCAGTTCCACTTTTGTCACGTTCTTGCACTAGATTCTACCCATAGTCAAATGGGAACATGTGACCAGACACAAGGGGTACAATCAGTCATGGATGCTGCTAATGGGGTCTCTCGGCACTTGTGGCAGTGGTTCTGAGAAATTGTTTTATCATTTTTCTCACTCCCACCGTTAGGCGCTGCATCTGCTGCTAGACGGTACCTGGTGTTAGTTCAGTTCAGTTTGTTAATTTACGGATTCTCCAGAGGTAAATGGGTACCAATCATCGAAGTGTCACCAAACCAATAAAACAATGGGAATAAAATAATGTATGAAGTTAGCGGCCGTCGTGAGTTTCCTTCGCGAACGGACACAATAATTTACTTCTTACTTAATCTTGTTCTGAAAGTGGTGGACATCACGCAACTGCATTGTAAAGAAAAGCGGGTTTGTCAACTGACAACCGCTCTATTTAGTTGCTATTCACTCTTTAGATGTCGAACAAATTATTGACGTTTCGGGCCAGTCACCCATCGTCAGAACAATGTACAAGGGGCGAACCTGGCCTTTTGTAATGAAAGCAAGCGAGAGCGTATGTACATGTATGTCCATGTACACACGAAACGAAATACACAACAGCCGTATGCAATTGAGTGCATGAATTTGCATGTACAACCGACAAGGAGAAGTGCGCTGAAAGAGTGGGTATGCAGTAGCTCAGCAGATGAAGCGCAAGAAATGTGTGTACGAAGGTGTTAACCACGATCATTGTATGTACAACCTTGTACAGACACAGTAAGATTTAGCAGTTTCGCTGTAAGGGTGCTAGCACCTAAATAGCCATCGGAAGGAGATATTGATCTCCGAACGACGCTCTCGAATCTCGATGGACTCCCTAATTTTTCTTCTGGCCATCCGTGTTTCCACAGCCAGTACTTGGGCCTCAATGAAAATCACATCTGTACTCTTGATGGTTCCGTGCTGCTGGTGATCAGTAGCCATGTGTTTACCCCACGGTTTGTCGAGTATCCTGTGACGTGCTTCGTAGTGATGTTCCTCGAAAAGGTCTCAACGACATACCGCTTCCGATACAGTGCACACTTCATCATAATTATAGATAATGCCGGGGGAATCACACATGCAGCTCGGCAAGCCAGAGGAGCATGAGATATAGGGGTTGAGCGGTCTTCATCGCCCCCACTGTTCTCGGCGCCTCACTCGTTCTTGTGTCACGCTGCACTTCGATGGATTCAGCGCTGATTTCACGAGGGTATTTTTGAGGTTGAGAATGATGTTCAGACACAAAATTGACCGGGAATCCCGTATTTTACACTATAATTTGCCTTTCCGATACTTTTCGTCTCTCCTGCAGATAAGCGACAAGACGGTTATGCGCAAACGCTATCCTTTGCAGTGACGTACTCCAGCGGAGGGTTGCTTGAAGCGGCGAACTCCTCCCGTAGTCCATGTCAGGTTCGTGCAGGGATGGTGTGCGTACGATAATCGCCTATAGGATATCAATTTACAACGAAATTGCCAACATGATAAAGATAAAGATAACGAATTCAAACATACATGTTCTGCCTTTTCATCAAAAAGCGATTTCATATAAACAATTATCGTGCACAGACCATCCCTGCCAAAACACATAGCCTGTAATTTGAAATCATTTTGTATGTAGTTTGCATGAAATTATATTTTGATTTCCTGGAATATTTATTGCTATTGTCATCCCCTATCACACAATGAATTGACAATGATGATATTCTCATGCCCTTTAGCGCTTCACTATCTGTATATATCTCCTTCTCTGCAGACGGACTTGAAGGCCAGGGCACTGTTGATAAATGCGCTGTCCCATGCCTGCACTTGCTGTCTCGTTCAAGGTCTAATCTCAGCATCGCCCGGGCAACCCTCGCCATCCACTGGTGACCATGAGGTGAGGTTTCGTGCTACCATCAGGCGACCACTGCCGATCATCGATATACACCGAAGACTCCGTGCATACTTCAAGTCGTCGACTGCAGGACGCTCACCGGACTCATCGACATCGGGATACATAGTAAAGTACTGCCGATTCAATCAGCGCACGGGGAAGCCCTCCAGATGTTTCACGTCCGGGATTCTGGGAACGGCTGGTGTATAGCGTGACTAGAAGCAGGATTCGCAACATGTGGCTGATTCATAGATAAAGAGAGATAGATAGATAGAGAGAGAGAGAGAGAGAGAGAGAGAGAGAGCGTTCGTGCGTGAAAGAGAAAGTGCGTGTGTGTGCGTGCGTGTGTGTGTACATGGTACATGTGTGTGTGTGTGTGTGTGTGTGAGTGTGTGTGTGTGTTTGTGTGTGTGTGTGAGTGTGTGAGAGAGAGAGGTGAATTATGCAGCCTTGCAAGTGTATCAACATCTCTTTGTACATACCCCACACCCTCTACCCATTTCCACATTCACTGCCTTACTGTTCAACAATCCTCCTATACATGTACATGTATGCCGGTCTTGTGAGGAACCATCACACAATCCGCGGACAATTGAGCTACCAAACCTGAAAAGGTGGCGCTTGCACATGTAGTTTCGCAAAACCCATGAAAGGTTGAGTGTAACATGTACCATGTACATGTATACGCCCGTCGCAAGAGAAGCACGCAAATCTGCAAATGCACTGGATGTGCACCCACAGACTTTCTCTAATAGCAACGATAGCGAACAAGATCCGAATGAGACGTAAATTTCATATTTTTCTACAAAATCCACATATCTCCAGACACTGAGGTGAATGATGGAGTGTGGTGGTGGGGCTCATTAAGCTCCGCCGACCAGAGGATATGGCATTCAATTGACTGTAACTTTGGTGCCGGAAAAACTCAAAATTCCAGCACAGTGCCACGGTGTGCGAGCCACCCAGGAGCAAAAACAATGAATTTATTATTTTTTCACATTTTCTTGCCCATTTTGTCCGTGCAAGGGATCCAAACCAAAAAAAGTCCAGAAGCAGCCATAGGTTGTGGGATAGGGCCCCTCAACGTGGCCCTGGAATCTGTCAAACCAGCACGAGTGGGCGTTGTCTCACAGACTCCCACAGACCCAAGTCAATTTTTGATTTTTTAGGTTTAGCACGTGCTACGAGGTCGTACCTTTGATATCATCCAGTGCTGGGACCTCTACAGCAACCCATTTCCACAGCGCTGCAAACCAAATCCAGGATACCCTCAAAAATCGGCAAAGACTACCACTCACGTTCCACTACTGCCTAGTACTGAATCCTACCTGACTTCTTGACACGATTCAAATTTGCCAAAGTCACTAAATAAACATCAACTACAATAATCAAGCCACATATCTGCAATGTCACGAGGGTGCTGGCAAAAGTCTTGCTGCACGAAGCCCGTCGCCCTGCAGCCTAATACATGGCTAAAAAACGTGATTTTTGGACACAACATTCTGCACACTTTCGCGTTTTTCCATGATACGACAAGTTGCACACGGTCTGCTCACATTCAAATACAGTGCTGCAAAAAATGACAGCGTGCAACAAAAAAAATCTTTCCTTGCAAGGGCACATTTTCGGCCATAACTCTTGAACGGCTGGTCAGATCGAGACAAAAGTTTCAGAGATTTAGCAGCTGTTCATGCTCTTTCAACTGATGTAGCACTCGATATGAATTGACCAATTCGATATTTCAGGGAGTTTACGACCTGGTTCAGTGTACACGTACTGTCTGTACTTGTATAATAGTGATGTCAATGCATGTACAGTCGTGTCCAAAGAAATGCGACCAAGGTGCCGAAAGCAGTGCCAAGACTCACGCGGCCTCTAAGGCCCTTGGAAGTAGGCACCGGTGGATTATGCTCGAAAAGCGGTGAAATTGGCAGAACCATAAAAAACCATATGGCGGGCAATTCCTGGAATTCTGCTCCATTTTTTTATCCACATACCAAACATGCATGAAACGTACCATACAAACTTACACACACAGAAAGTACCGAATTCTGCCGCTTTTTCCGCCGGCATAATCCGCCGGTGCCTAGTGTTAGAAGGCGCTTTTTTGGCCGGAGTATGGTGCGATTTGAATAGAAACGCAACGTAACTTCGGAGCCATTGCGTCGGAGGTCTTTGGCCACGACAGCACGAGCACATAGACGGTAAATCACCAGTCACCAATGGAGCTAGCCTGCTTGTAGCGGTTACATGGCTATCCGCCAATCTTCAGACACCAATGATGATACTGGTTGAAAGTGCCTAGGGTGACAGGAGAGAAGAGATAAGGGCCAGTGGCGTGCACCGAGTCTTGAAAGGGGGGTTTCTAGAGTTGGAAATTTTTTTTGTAGACCCACTGTATAGTTATGTATTTGTGCACATGCGCATCCCTCCAACATCCCGCCGGAGATAACGGCGAGGGCTAGGGAGGAGGAGGGGGGGGGGGATTCAAGATTAGGGGCGCAGGGCACCAATGAACACTGGTGCTGATGAGACGGCGAGGGCTAGGGAGCAGGAGGGGGGGGGGGGACTCAAGATTAGGGGTGCTGGGCACCAATGAACACTGGTGCTGATGAGACGCGGGGCTCCGACTGCTATCATCAGATCATTCCGGCACAAACGCGTCTGAGAGGGAACCAGGTCCCGGGGGTAGAAAGAACAGAAATAGGAGCAATGAGAAATGGAGGGAGGGGACGATGTTGCATGGAAATGTTGGTACATGTTAAACCGGTAGCAGGATAAAACGGGTACGGCCGGGCTACCTTTTACATACCAGCACTTGAAAAAGTATTTGCAAAGGGGGTGCAAAAGTCAATGTACTCATATACATGTTTGTCATATTGAACACGTAAAAGTTTGATAGGCCTAGCCGCCCAGGCTACACTACAGTCTATAACACTATGTCTATCAGACTATGGTACTTCACTAGTCCACTCCAGGCTTGTTCTTTTCATCAAAACACTGCTTACATTCGACGTATCTTTTCTTTCTGTTCTTATGACGAAGTTTTCAGCATGTATTGGCAATGTTCCACATGATTTCAATAAAGAGTTATGGACCTTGCTTCGATGGACGCTCGCGGAAGAAAAGCGAAGCCCCGCGTCCTTGATTCGCGGCCGGATCAGCGCAAGTGGATCATGGACGCACATTTTTACGTCCTCCAGTCGACAACGTTTTTGACGAACATCTCTGCTGCGCACATGAGCGAGAACGAAAGGCTGTGGAAATCTTGATTTGAGTCAACAGTTTGGAAGGAGATATCGTCAATCATACCCTTGAACTGACTTGCATCGCGCAGGCTTGACTCAAGTTTCGAGACAAAACGGATTTCTTGAATGTCATCGCCAATCCAGGAGCGAACCAGAGCTAGAGATCGATCTCTCTGTGGCTACTCTCCACTGAAGAAAGAGAGAATAATGTATTTTGAACTGCATGCAAAGCAACTCTCTCTCACTTCGAAATAAGGACATAGTCACTGCACTGTAAGCTGCCCGTCGCTCGACGCATATGCACGATAACCAATCCAGTAGGCACGCTTTTCCTTTGGCAAGATTGCCCGAAAAAAGGTGGTTTCCAGACACCAAAAAACTCATACGGTGCACGCGCCTGAGGGCTGCCGTGGCAATTTATGCACAGCAAAAAGAGACGATGATAGCTGCACCGCCATGCCTGGGTATGGGCGATAATATTGCAGTGCAATGTGAGGTCATAGCACGTGACATCTACATGTACATGTGCATGTGCATGTACATGTATGGCAATGGCACCATAAATTTCTCAGTACATCCGTATATTTCCAACACACGCGCGCGCGCACACATACACACACACGCACACACACACACCGGCGCGCGCACACGCACACACACACACACACGCACACACACACACACACGCACACACACAATTCCAACGAGAAGAAGCCCTACACGGCTTGTACTCAGTAAATCAAACAGTCACAACTATAATTATGATGGATGATGATTTGTTTACACTCATGTACATGTAGGCTTCTTGCACCGTGATATGCTGGATTACAACACTGAAGTGCTCTCTGACGAGGGTACGGAATTTGGGTATAGCCTAAAAATATTCAAAATCCGCAGTCACGAAAAAGGCCGTCCGTATACTTATATCGATATTTTTTCTAGACGATATTTGTTCATAATCATCCAGAAGGGGCCGTCCATAAATATCGATATATTTTTCAAGACTGGATTGTAACATACATGTAATGGTTAATTAGAACTTGAAGCAGGTGTGAGGTCATGCTTAGCGTGGCGGCGGCATGCACCTACATGTACATGTAACTTACATGTACTATGAACAGTATGTCAGGCATTTGGTCACGTGATGCTCAAAAGTCAGGTGCTCATCTAGTGTGACACCAAGATATTACTTAAGGCTTTGGTTGTACATGGACGTGTACATGTATATCAAGGCCTGCGCAAGTCAGCTTGAGGTCGTAGGGTACTGTAATACATGGTGTGTGCACTTGTATGCATGATATCGCTGGGTATAAAATGTACATGTAGGTTGCATGAATAATATTCTTCCAATTTTGGAGAATATTTCTCTTTTTTTATACGAAAGTCCACTATATTCCCGAATATGTGCGGGAAGTGGTGGCGGGGTCAGGCTGCTCTGCCGACCTTAATCACAGGTCTCGGCGTCTACGCAGACAAAGCGCGCCATGTTAATCTTTATGTTTGATCGGTCCTGGTTTTCAAAAGCATGTGGAACCGTAATGTAGAGCGGTACTTACATGTACATGTACATGTACATGCACGGTACATGTACCCGTACATGCACGGTACATGTACATGTACATGTACATGTACATGTAAGTACCGCTCTACATTACGGTTATACATGTACATGTATGTACAGATGTAAGTCTTTCAGCCAGATGGTTTTTCTATCCACTATCGATTTGTATGATGAAACAGGATATTGGCATCACACAGGTGGTGTCTCTCAAAACAATGAGTATTGCCTTTTAAAGTTTTTCAAAACTGCTCAGCCTGGCAGGGCGGGTTGTTCTTGTGAGCAAACTGAGCGTGCTGGTGATGATGTCTTTTCAGGCGCTTGGCTTTGTGTACGTTCTGATCCTCATGGAGAACAGGGAAGTGGCCTGGGCACTCTTCTCCTGGTTTTTTGCGCGGCAGGTATGGAGCAACTTAACTAATACTTGGGCGGTCCGGATCACTCGAGGGAGTGGCCTTCACACGGGATTGTAGAAATGGCTTCGGGATCGGTTTGCTCACTCGGACTTTGAGCATACGGCCCGGGTCATACGGCACGGGTCATATGTCGGCGATCCCAACCCGATCACCAACGAGCCAATCTCCGGAATCTCACGCATAGTGCTATTAGGGAAGTGAGACTGAGAGCCGTACCTAATACTAGCAACCCAAGGATAAGCTCAGTGCTGACACTGCTGTCGCTGGTCTTTAAGATGACAGGTGATTTGTGTCGATGTCATTGCTGGTGGTAACAGTACCAGTGGTGCTGGACAAAATGGACAAAAGTTTAACAATACTTCAAATGGATTTGTGTGAAATGCAGTGCTCTCTTGAGTGTAGGCAGGTTGCCTGCAAACTATTCAAGCACAATGAAGCTGCGTGAAGCGTCCCTCAAGATTTTGAAAGGGCTAAACAAATTCACGTATTCTAGTGGCGAATGAACCCGCCGACATACAGAGACAGAAACGCGGCACGCCCACGAACAGACACAATGGTAATATTATGGCCTTTACCTGTGCAATGAAG